TTTTCTCAATTAATTGTTTTGGCCTATACAATCACACACATTTTCCCCCAGAACCCAAGCTGAATCTGAATTTTTAAGTTGCTGTGACAATCAGTCCAAACTCCACAGATATTCAGTTTGCTGCCACAGAGAAGTTACAAAATCAGCACAAATTCATCTTTGAAAAGAAATAAAGTGTTACATTTTGGCACTTTTCCTTAAAGAAAAGCTTAAACAATCAATCGATTCTGAACTGGTGGTGGTCAACTAATCAAGTAATCGACTAATTGTTAAACTTTCTTTGGTTATCATTTAGTCAATATAGATATATGGTGAATCATTTTGTAATGAAAGTATGTTCTCTGGTAACTATTTTTTGAAAAACACGAGATGTAACAAAATAAAATCAAAGCAGGGTATCAAAACGCTGGAGTTTAACAGCAACAAGTGCAACGAGAGATTTGTCAAAAAGAGATCTTTCTTTGTTCTTCAACTAATGAAACTCATCAACTATCAACATTCAGGCAAATTAAACCTGACAAAGAACTATCAACAATATCACAACTTTTGGTAATGAAAAAGTTAAAACATGAAGTCAAAAGGAATCTTCATTTAGATTCAAGACATTCACCTGATCTTCTAATACAGACTGAATCCAGAAATGTGTTATAAAACTGTTCTTACACAGCCAATATTACAAATAATCCAAATGATAGAAGCCTAAACATCCAGATTACATACAACAAAATCCCTAAAACATCTCATGCAGCTACATTTCTTAAACCAAAAATAAGTCAATACCCCACAAAACAGTCTCTATTCTATGAAATATTCCCCCCAACCCTCTCTTGGACTCACCGTTGGAGGTTGGTACATGTGTGGCCACGGCCAGCAGAGCCGTCAGAGTCAGCAGTTTGACATCCATGGTGGTGGTGGTGGACTAACAGGCTGCAGGAGGGCTGCTCTCTCTCTCTTTATAACTCTCTCTGCTACAATCCAGGACACAACTGTGACCGCCAGCTCTGCTCTGCGCTGTGTTAAATCTTCAGATGGAAGAGAGAGAGACACACAGGGTGAGTGAGGAGAGAGGAAGGG